CTTCTCAAAATTTCCTTGCATTCGTTTTCTTTCGTCACTGTCATAGTCGACCCCAAGACGGTTTCATAGTCGACTGCTTGAAGAGCGAGAAATTCAACGAAATTAAATTTGTGGACGATCGTAAATGGAGTGCGTGTAACTTGTACCTCGGACTACTAATACTTGTATTACTAGTCTGAGCTTGTACTGAATGCAAGAGACTGTTTATATTTGCTATGGGTGGTGACTATTATGCAAATTATCTGTCTAATATGTCTTTGGCTGATTAATTAAAACATAGCTTTCAAAACAATGACATGTGCTTTTGTTTTTAATTAACAAAAATTGATTTTTACACCCTATAAAAACATTCAATTCACTATTTTTCCTACTGAGTGTTTGCTCCTTGTAGTCCAGCATTGAAAAATACAAAAATAGAATTTTGGGTTTCAAAGCAAAAAAAGGTGTACAGCATCCTTAATGCATTTTAATGAATTCTATGACTTAGCCTATCAAACAATTACCCTGAAAATAAAAAAAAAGAGGTTGCTGATTAGGTAATTTTGGATGTTACATTTGTACTTTTCTGTATTAGTGATTTTGAATTGACACATGGTCAGTTTGCCACTGTGTTCTGCTGTAATGTACATTATGCATCCTCGCAAGCTTGGCGCCTGTCTCACGACATCAGGTTGCAAAAGCCGTATGCAGTCTATAAAGGTTTTATCCTATACCTAATAGGTGTAGTTACAATTTTACTGTAGTGTTACTTCAAACACACAATGTAATTTAGAATGAAGTATTTTGTTTTGTTTGATGAAAGCTGGGGGGGGGGGGATACAGGAAATTATTGCCCTGATTTGTGAGCGCATAGCATTGCAAGGCCAGGCAATACGAGGTGTATGATAAAAGGTGTCATAAACCACTCACTTCTGTGATGCAGCCATGTCACTAAATTTTACAAAGCCATAACTTTAATAATACTAACTTAATTACACAACCAAAACGATCAGGGGGTAAAAATAAAAAATAATAAAAAACCAAAATGATAAAACTAACTAAATAAAAGTAAAACATTAATAGGACAAAATAGAAAAAATAAAGTATAAAATACTAAAACTGACATTGCATAGAAAAGACATTGGTTCTCTCATGGATGCATATTTACATAATTACGTATTTCCATTGAATAATGTGAAATTTGGAAAGGGCAAGATCATGCTTCATTATTTCAAGAAAAACATCTCCATTTTTCTTGCTTGCGATTTTATCAGTGATGTTACACTCTAGAAATAAAGATTGTCTTTCAATTTTAAAACATGCACATTCCAGAATGAAATGTATCTCATCATGAAATGCATTTAATAAAGGGAGCAGATTCACATATCACATAGTGTTGTCATATGGTTTGATTACAGAGCTACACACAGTACATCCCGCTGTCCATCTATGATCTACAAACCTGGATGGGCAGTCCCTCTATATTTGTGTATGATTGCTCCCATGCTGGGATAATATTAGAATCATTTAAACAGTTTTGTATACAAAGGGAACAGGAGTATGAAGTAAGTATGTAAATTACATTCTCTTAAAAATGCTGCTTTTTCATATTACACTGCCTGTGTATGTTGAAGACATTTTGCCGCCTTCCAATGTTTATAATTTTATAATTTGAGAGTAGTCAAAGAATTTCACTAAAATCACTGTCACTCAAAGAATGTCAGTAAAATTGCACAAAATATCAGCATTTCCTTGAGTTGTTGAAATTTCATATGTCATGTATAAATTTAGAAAGAAGGGGACAGGTTAACTTGAGAAATGGGTGTTTATCAAACAAATCTGCTGACTAGCTTCTTAATAATCAGGTGGGCCTCAATAAAGAGACGTCAACTTTGTGTACAATTCAATTGACCTGTTGATGCCCTAAGCTGATGAAAATTCTATCACATCCAAATTTACATGTATGCTTGACACTGTTCGGCTGTTTATAGTAAATGCTGCATTTGGTATACGGCATATACTAGTTCATACGCCAAATGCTACAAACAAAGTACATGTATATTCGATGTTACAAGTTGTTTTTGGGGGGAGGAGGGCCAGTACCAATTACGATTGACTTGTATTTCTCAGCTTGCAGTGTTTTACAATAATTGATAGTAGTTTACTGTAGCTTACAGCAGTTGATAATAGTTAGATTATATTTGCATCTTATTGATGTGCCGGTTTAGATGACTCACCTAAAAGTGAGGGTAAATTAGCAAACATATTCTATTCATCGACGTCTCTGTTCCAGCTGGCGCAGATCAACCGTAATCATTCCGGTATTCATAACAACATGCCGATGCCACCTCCATTAAAGAACTGCATACAGCTAGCAGCGTGTAGTTCCACGCAGCTTTTACCTATGAACCCAGAACTACCAGCTGATTTGTTTACATCTTGTCTCAGTACGCCTATTAAAATAGCACTCAAGTGGTAAGCTTACTATTCACTAGTCTCCATTCTGTATGTGTTGCTACAGTTCATGAAATACTGTAAAGGGGTTAATTAGTCCCCGTTCGGACGCAGTCCGAAAACGGGGACTTATGTTTTGCCCTGTGTGCGTCCGTCCGTCCGTGCGTCCGTGCTTCCGTGCGTCCGTGCGTCCGTGATCACCTGTATCTCGAACATGCATGGACCGATTGAGTTCAAACTTCACTCATACATCACACATTATATGGGACATATGCACATGCATTTTTTTCATGATCCGATTAACGATAGCCGAATAGCGGCCATTTTAAGGCCGAAAATGCATTGAAATCGCACATTTTCACCATTCCGGACCCGTATCTCAGTTATGCATGGATGGATTTTGTTCAAATTTGGTACATACATTAAACATAATAGGACCTTGATGCACGTCATTTTTTTTTTTGGATCGGGTTCGAAATGGCCGACTGGCGGCCATTTTGTTTTAAAGAATTCAGTTCTGGATCCGTATCTGAGACATGCTTGGATTGATCGAGTTCAAACTTCACACACACAAGGTACATCATGTCACAAATATGTATGTGCATTTGTTTCATGATCTCATTAACGATAGTCAAATGGCGGCCGCTTTAAGGCCGAATGATTGAA